GCACATATGTGTGTGTGCATACATACATACATACAGCTGCAATATTAACATAGACTTTAGTCTAACTTCCGTTCCGACTTTTTTGTTTTCTTATATGAGAATTAAGATTGATCAAGTTGATTTCTTATTACAGTATGAACACTTGGAAGATGAGAGCCAGATATTATTTATTTTTTATCTTCTTACTTTTTACAGCCCCTCAACAACTATTCCTTGAACTGAATTGGATTGGAACTGGCACAAACATATCTACACAGCAATTATTGGGAATTAGGGGGCAACTGTTACTGGTTTGATCTTTTTTCTTTCCAGATTTTCAGGCCCATTTTCCAGTGCTTGAAACAAAATTGTACAACTAGTTAGCCAAGCTACATCTGCTGGTTTAAGGGAGGCAGCACATATACTCATGAAATGGAGAGCTTTTAGGATCAGATAAAACTAAGTTCAAATTCTGGTTTTCTTATCTATTACAGGTCCATGGACAATGTCTTTAACCTTCCTATGCCTCATCTGTCTTTTGAAGATAATTATTGCACCCTTCCTCACAGATTTGCAGGAGGTATTAAAAGAAGTGATGCACATATTCTGATAGGTGCCCAGAGAAAGATTAGTTAAAATTAGCAAAGAGGAATAACATTATACATGGTCAAAATTTGAAAAGTAGTAAGGAAAGAATCTAAATAAGTGACGATTTCAGTTGTTAAGATCATATGAGAAAATATAAGCTAAATCAACATGAGATGGGTCTTTACAAAAAGGAGAAATAAACTATCATAAGTATTGGGACATGAACTAGAAACTGGTTTGGAAGCTACCTTAAAAATTCGTCAAGCCAGACAGCCACATGGCACTTAGGAAGGGAAACCAAAGAAATTAATTTTCATCTTCCTAGAGAATTTGCCAACTACTGTGTAATTCTTCAAGTGTCATAATGCGTACCTAGGTAGTGACCTCAATATGGAGGAAAAGTTTTTTTAAAAAATCGGAGGACAATGAATGAACACTGAGATTGTGCTTTCCAAAGTGGTTGTGTTTACAAGGCTGGTATTGTGGCGTAACAGTTTAAGCCTCTGCCTGTGGATCCAGAATCCTATATTGGTGACATTTCCAGTCCTGCTCACCCTACTTCTGATTCAGCTGCCTGCTATTGTTCCTGGGAAAGCAGTGAACGATTACCCAAGTCCTTGGATCCATGCACCCAAGTGGGGGACCCCAAAGAAGCTACTGTGTGTGCCTCTTCTAACTGCAAATCTGCTTTTCAAATAAAAGCAAACAAACCTTTTTTTAAAAAATAGTCATCTTCAGTGTCTTCTGTAGAAAAATAATCAAAACCACAGGGTTTTTTTTAAAGTTACACTTCAGCCATGCAAGCTTTACGTGATTGAGCAGAACTGCATGACATTACATGGAAAGTTATCAACATATCCATGGAATTAGATGTACAAAACTGTGCTTAGCATGACCCAAACTGTATTTCTTAAGAAACAAATATGCATATATATATATGGATGGATAAATATCAGAATACATATATACATACACACCTACATATACTTAGGAATTTTCTTGAATGATGTGCAAAAAATTGTTGCTGATGGCATGCCTTAGGAATGAGACTAGGGACTTGAAGTTAGAAAGGGATCTTTTTTATTTTATGGCCTCTTTTACTGTTCACATTTTTACCATAAATATTTAATGCCTTTTAAAATATATATATATTATATATAGATAGATAGATATAAGTATATATATATTTAAAACTAATTTATGGAGAAACATGGTGGAGAGACAGAGATCATCCAACTATTGGTTCACTCCTCAAATGGACACAATTACCAGAGCTGGGCAGGTCCAAAATCAGTAGCCAGGAGTGTCTTCTGGCCCTTGCATGTGAGTTCAGGGGCCCAGTGATTAGGGTCATCATTTACAGCTTTCCAGGGCACATTGCAGAAAGTAGAACAGCTGGGACTCAAACCAGTGCCCACACAGGATGCTGGCATCACAGGTGGAGGCTTTACCCATTATGCCACCTTCTATAGTCCCTACTATCTTTATGATTTAAAAAGAAGCACAGCAGGAAAAAAAAAAATTAACTCCAAAGATTCAATGTGTAATGCTTTGTACAAAGTAGGACTTGGTTAATACTTACATGAATGAATGAAAAACCACTTCAGCACCCCATCAGTTAGCAAATGGAACAAGAGAAGAGGATATAAAGCCACAAGAAAATAAATAAAAAGGATAACAGTAAGATCACTGAAGCTGCCCAAAGCAGTTTCTATTCCCTTTCAAGAGAGAAGTACAAGAAAAGTCAGCAAAGGCAAAAGCTTAGGAATACCCCGTTACCCCTGGGATGCCTGCTGTCAGACAGACTTCATTGTGCTCTGCAAATATTGCCTGCAGGTCCACAAGAGAGTATACAGAGAAAAGTCTTTAAGGAGCTGATCAGAGCTATATTATTCTCCAAATAGGGAAGGAGTAGAGCAGAGATGCACATTCTTCTGCTGCCATGAAAGCTGTTCTGTCACAAGGCTACAGCTCATTGACGGGGAGTAAAGTTCCTTTAGAGCATTCAAGCTCCATATTGATATCTCAGGTATCTGCATCAATAACTGTGCCAATCAAATTCTAAAGCCTGGTACAGATGTGTTTATTAGATACAATAATTTATAATTACTACTGTTCAAGTATTACATGAACAATAATTTGTGACTGAAATTTTTGCCGAAAATAACTCAAAAGAAATACTCACTCAACACTCTCTGGAGGAAAGAACAAAAAAAATCCGTGCAACAAGCACTACTGACAGCACTGTGATCTCCATCAAATTCATAGCTGGGGTCTCATTGATCACAGGTACTGCTAGAACCAGGAGTGGGAAAAAGGCTAAGCAGACACTGGTGCAGCCACAACATAGGATCACAGGAATGGAAAGTAGTGAGTCAGAAGCTGTGGCTGTGTGCAGATCAGTAAACTCAATTTGTATACCTGTGGACAACACAACTTAAAAACCAGCCCCAAGGAGAAGAAGCCACTAATCAGAGTTGAATAGACAAGGGTAAAGAAAAGGCACAGGCACGATGAATGAGATTACTGATACCACCCTGGCAAAGGACCAAAAGACTACATCAACCTCAGAATTAACTGAGGAAGACATTGACAAACTGACAGATAAAGAATTTTTAAAACTTGTTATAAAGCTTCTTAACAACAACGAGAAGCACATACAGGAGTTCAAGAAATTTGAGGAGTTTGTGACACAGGAAATAGCAGCACTGAAACAAGATCACACTGAATTATTAAAAATGAAGAATAAAATACAGCAAATTAAAAATCCAGTGGACAGCCTCAATGAAAGAATGAGTGAGGCAGAAGAATCTCAGACCGTGACGACTCCTGCTGCAATATCACTGAAACAATCCAAAAGCTGGAAAAGGAACTGAGTCATGCTAAGAAAAATATTCAAGAATTAAGGGACACCATTAAAAAGCTGAAAATAAGAGTTACGAGAGTTCATGAAAGCATTGAAAGAGAGGCTGAGTTCAAATATGCTTTCAATGAAATGATAATTGAAAAGTTCCCTAACATGGAGAAAGAACTGGTAAAGAAAATACAGGAGGGGCAGAGAACTCCAAATAGAGTTGACCAAAAGCAGTCCTCACCGCAATACATCATAACCAAGCTCTCTTTGGTTAGATATAAAGCAAGTTTATTTAAATATGCATTGAGAAAAGTCAATTAACTTATAGAGGAAACCAAATGAGACTCATAGCTGACCTCTCAGGGGAAACCCTGCAGGCCAGAAGTGAATGGAGTTACACAGTCCAGATCCTAAAAGGAAAACAACTATTATCCCAGAATGACATAGCAATCAAAGCTTTCCATTGTATTTGCAAATGAAAAAAAAAAATAAAAAACCTTGGAAGCAAACAAAAGCTGAAAGACTTTGCCTCTACCAGACCTGCTTCACAAATGTTGCTTAAAGATTTACTACAAAGAAAAATAATAGCACCTACAAAAACCAAACGCAAATGTGATGAACATCTCAATAAAACAACAAAAGAAACCTAAATCAACCAATGAGTAACCCAATGTTTAAATGGCAGGACTAAATCACTGCCAATATTAACCCTAACACAAATCAAAAGACAGAATGGATTAAATCAAATCAAATAGCAGAATAGATTAAAAATCAGGACCTTGTGCCTACAGGATCATTTACCTACAGGAAACACATCTGACCAACAAAGATACATAGAAGCTGAAAGTGAAAGGAGGCAAAAGGACATTCCAGGATAATGGAAAGAAAAAAAAAATGACCTGGTGTGGCAATTATAATACCAGATATGAACATGCTTTTTTTTTTCCATGTGAAAGCATTAAAAAAAAACATGAATATGGACACCACAAAATGATAAAGGTATCTATCTAACAAGTAATGATAATAAATGTATAGGCACCAAATGCCAGGGTACCTAGCTACATGAAAAACTGTTGACAGATCTAAGGGAGATATAGATGCCAATACAATAATAATGGGGGGACACAAACATCCCATTAACATCAATAGAGAAATTAACAAAACAGAAACTCAACAATGAAACAACAGAACACACCCAAACAATTAAACAAATGGACTTAAATAATATCTACAGAACCTTTCATCCTACAGATGAAGAATACACTTTTTCATCAGTACATGAAACCTTCCCCAGAACTGATTACATGATAGGCCTCAAAACAAGCCTCAGCAACTTTGAAAAGATCAGAATCATACCATGCATGTTCTGAGACTATCATGGACTGAAACTGAAAACCAACAAATCAAATATCACAGAAGATATGCAAACGCCTGGAGACTGAACAACATGCTGTTAAATAAATTATAGATTATAGAGGAAATTTAAAAAAAAAAAACTGCTCAAATGAATAAAGGCATCAGCACAACATATCAAAACTTGTGAGATATAGTCAAGGCAGTTTTAAGAGGAAAGTTTATTATGCTCATTTTGGCAGCACATATGCTGAAACTGGAACGATACAGAGATTAACATAGCCTCTGTGCAAAGATGACACACAAATTCATGAAGCTCTCCATATTAGCAAAAAAAAGAGGAAAATTTGCTGTAAATATTGCCTTGTCAAGAAACTAGAAAGGCATCACATAAACAAGCTAAACATACATCTGAAGCAGCAAGAAAAACAACACTAAAATAATCCAAAGATCAACAGGAAAAAAGAAATAATCAAGATAAGGGAGCAAATAGGCCAAATAGAAACCAAAAGAATAATACATAATATCAATGAATCAAAGAGTTGGTTCTTTGAGAAAATCAACAAAATAGATCCCCCACTAGCCCAACTAATCAAAAATGGAAGGAGAAGATATGGATCCACAGGATAGGAGATGAAAGAGGAAATATAATAAATGATACTTCAAACATACATAGAATAATCAGGAACTATTGCAACCAACTATAAGCCAACATTTCAGAAGAAATGGATAGATTTTGAGGTACATACAAGCTATCAAAATTGAATTATGAGGCAATTAAAATATAAATAGACCAGTAATCAGGATGGAGATAGATTCAGTAATTAAATCCTTCCCATCAAAGAAAACCCTGATAGAATGGCTTTACTGTTGAATTCTACCAAATTTTCCAAGAAGAATTTACCCCAATCCTCCACATGCTAATCAAAAAAAAAAAAATAGGAAGAGGAGATAATCCTTCCAAACTATTTTAATGCAGCCAACATCACCTTAATACAAAAGCCAGATAAAGACATAACAGATAAAGAGAACTGCACACCAATATCCCTCATGAACACAGACACAAAAATCCTTAACAAAGTATTAGCCAATAGAATCTAGCAATTCATCAGATAGATCACTACCTGGACCAGGTGGGATTCATCCCTGGCATTTAGGGATGGTTTAACATATGTAAAACAATAAATGAGATTCACCACATAAACAAATTAAAGAATAAAAACCTTGTAATAAAAATAAATAAATCTTTTAAAAAAAGCGGGGGGCAGCAGAGTGACCTAGTGGCTACAGTCCTCACCTTGAATGCGCCTGGGATCCCATATGGGTGCTGGTTCTAGTGGTTCTAGTCCCAGCAGCTCCACTTCCCATCCAGCTCCCTGCTTGTGGCCTGGAAAAGCAGTCAATGATGGCCCAGTGCTCTTGAATCCTGCACCCATGTGGGAGAGCTGGAAGAGGTTCCTGGCTCCTAGCTCCGGATTGACACAACACCGGCCATTGTACTCACTTGGGGAGTGAATCATTGGATGGAAGATCTTCCACTCTATCTCTCCTCCTCTCTGTATATCTGACTTTGTAATAAAAATAAATAAATCTTTAAAAATAAGAATAAAAACCATATGATCATCTCAAGAGATGCAGAGAAGGTATTTGACAAACTCCAACACTACTTCATGCTAAAAAAGAAAAAAAAAATCCTAATTAAGAAAAGCATAGAAGGAACATTCCATAACACAGTGAAAGTAATATGTAAAAATACAAATGCCAGCATTATACTAAATGGGGAAAGACTGGAAGCTTTTCTACTAAGGTCTGGAACTAGACAAGGATGTCCACTTTCACCACTAGAGACCATTATGTTCAGTGGAATTAAGCCAATCTCAAAAGAACAATATCTTATGTTCTCTCTGATATAAGGCAAACTTCACGCAAAATATAAGATCAACAGATAGACAGCCAAACATGTGTATGCATGTATTCTCACAGATGGACTGTGTACTGGACACTAGCATACTGGGAAATGGAGATATATTGCAGCAGGCATCTTACCTCCCAAATAAAAGGAGAACCTCCCAATGAAACTATAAAACATACCTCGACAACAAGATACCAGACTATCTACCATTGTCTAAACCTGCAATGCCACTTAAATAAAAGAGTGTTAGATTTGTGACTTTTGAATTTTATGGTACAATTCCACAGGGTCTGGGATTTCCCTCCCCCAAAACTCCCACCTCCTGACTGATTTTCCCCATATTATTACCATAGTATAGCTCTTCATAAGCAGTCATAAGTCCATCAGTTTGTTATTTAAGTGTGCCCTGACATTGCTGATATAGGCAATGTCAGACAGTCCAGCGTCCCATCATCTGAATATGTCCAACAGTTTCATTGGGAGTCCATCTTTGATTTGGAAGTAGAGATGCATACTGCATTGTATCTTCACAGCTGAATATGATAGTCTCTATATGTATATCACTATATATCCCCTTAAATGAGAAGGCATGAAGCAAAGTCAGCAATAGGTATGAAGTTAAAACAAAAAAGTTCCTAGCACCCTGGAGTTGAAAAATGTGACACTGAATAATCAATGCATGGGTGAAATAAAAAGAAAACACAAAAGCCTCTTGGGAAAAATGATGCCACTGTGTAATCCATGAGCCAGTGATGAATTCTACAAGAGAAAAGAAACTATTTGAAAGAAATGGAAATAACAACAAAAACATCAAAGCACATGGAATGCAGCAAAAACAGTATAGAAAGTGTTATTGATCTTAACAATTTGCCTAGAGACTGCCTTATCATCTCTCTTGATTAGACACTTCATGGAGCTTAGAGCCTTGCTGGATGGAATGGAGTGGAGTTCTGGACCTAATGCTGGGCTGTGGGGAAATGAGGAATGAGAAGACATGAAGTTAGTCAGCCCATTAAAAGACTTGAAAAGTATAGAGTAATCCTAAAACCAGAGGAATACCTATAAGGAAACTTCAGGTTATTTTATACGTCACCCACCACTCTTACCTAGGGATCCAGGGATGCAAATCTTTCTCATTCTACAGTGTCAGCAGGCACTCCTCAGAGTGACAGATGGGGAAAACATAACCATAACTATTCCAAAATTCTACAATGGGAGAGCTGAGGAGTTTATCCTCTGACATATGAAGATGGGAAACCTGAGACCCAATCAAAATCACATGATGGTTTAATCATAAAGGTTTAGTTTTCCTTACTCCCAGCCCAACCTTCTTTCCGCTACATCCCAAAGATGCATATTTCGGGCCCGGCGCGGTGGCGCAAGTGGTTAAAGGTCCTCGCCTTGCACGCCCGGGATCCCATATAGGCGCCGGTTCTAATCCCAGCAGCCCCGCTTCCCTTCCAGCTCCCTGCCAGTGGCCTGGGAAAGCAGTCGAGGACGGCCCAAAGCTTTGGGACCCTGCACCCGCGTGGGAGACCTGGAAGAGGCTCCTGGCTTCGGATTGGCATAGTATCGGCCCGTTGCGCTCACTTGGGGAGTGAATCATCGGACAGAAGATCTTCCTCTCTGTCTCTCCTCTCTGTATATCCGCCTTTCCAATGAATAAAAAAAAATAAAAAAATAAAAAAAATAAATCTTTAAAGATGCATATTTCAACATCCACAGTCTGAAGATGGCTTTATGGCAGTCCAATTTCCATGCATGTCTTGGACAACCAAGTTTATTTATCTCATTTAGCTTTAAAAATTCAGATTTATAGATATGGATAAAGAGGGAGTAGGGAGACTTCAGCAGTCACCACACAATAAATTGCTGTTCCTTTCAAAACTGGATTCACTTGGTCATTTGAAAAATAAAGGAAATACCTACAAATGCAACCACACCACAAAGTGTGCTATATTTAGCACATTTCAGTAGCATTTTAATATCAAAATTCCAATATTTCCCCGTTGCTATGGTTATAGCATCTGGTTAAACCAGAGTTCAGCAGCTGTGAGCAAAGCTAACCGTGCTTCCAGCCAACTTTGTGCTTTGTTCTTATGCAGGCGGAGGAAAATGGTAGCAAATAGTCACATTTTCTCTTACTCCCTCACAAAAGCACTGCCTCCTAACTAGTTTCGGTTACACAGCATCCTAACTCCCTATCTGGCACCAATACAACTAGATTCCTAAGTCTAAAAGCATTGACTTGATGATGCAATCAACTCAAGTTCTATAACTGGGAGTTATGTGTTCACAACATGCTAGTGTGCCAAAACTGTCATCTGTCTAGAATAGGTGGATGCTTGTGTGTTGATTACATTTGCAAACATACATTAGAAGATTCCTGAATAGAAAAAAATAGTTTTTTAAATCCAGTCATCACTTTGGTCTATGTGTCTTTCAGTTTGTTACTTTCCATTTTGATATCCTTTTATTTAAGCTTCTTTTTTTAAACTTGCTTTCACTAGTTGTCTTAGGCAGACTTTTTAAACTTCTCTTACACAACCTTCTGTTTCTTTGAATAGTGATGTGGTCTCTAAATGTTATCCTGAAAAATTATGGCTCATAATAAATATACATGACAGAGAATTTTCAAGGTTCTGGCAATACAATCAATACAGTATAAATTATGGCATGGGTTTGTAATAACATGCTACCTTATAGGGTGGATAGAAAAGAGCCATACATATTTTTAAGGAACATTTTAGCAGGTTCCTTATGGTCCTTTCTCTCAAATGTTAACTTTCTCCTCTGGTTTTCAGTGTACTATGGGTATATGCATTCCGGAAAATAAGATTTCTGTCCAAGTTTAGACAAACACTTTTAAACAAACCATGCATTCATACATACCTGTTCTTGTTTCATTAATGCGTAATGAAATTAAAGGATACTCCTTGTAAAGAAATAGATCAGATTATAGTACACTAGTAACAAAAGCATATTCCCCAAAAGAAATCTGACTTCTCTGTTCTGGAGTGTGATGCTCTCATAATTGCCTGCTATGCATTGATTATGGTTAAAACAAAATGAAGGAAGGAAAGAAGAGAAAGAAAGAAAATGACTGTGGAATTTATACTCTGACCCCAGCTGTAGACAACTACCTAAGTTTTCTTGCACCTAGGCAAGTGTTACACTGCTGAGAGAAAAAGCAGCCAGTAGCTGATGGACATTTTGGGCCTGATTAATGCCAAATTTGTGTTAAATATACCAGTGTGCAAGAATAGTTGCCTGTTCTTTTTTTTTTTTTAAGATAAATGTGCAAGACGGGGAACACTTGACTGGGACACACCACCCTGGAAACCCAGGTGGGGAGAGAGGGTGCAAATTACCCAGGGAAGGGGGTCTAGGGACACATTGCAGTAGGAGCAACTGAGGGTATGTTTGACAGGAGAGGAATAACTCTGGAATCATCCACAGACCAGGCTACCTCACTCACGTATAGGTGAGGGAGCTGAGATGCAGTGAATTAGAGGAGGAAACCAAAGGACATGGCTGGTTCAGGCCAAGGCACCCGCCCTTGTGGGAGACATGGACTAGACTAAATAGCATCAGCAGTCACCCACTGGAGCATGCAAAAGCTGAGGCTGTGGGGCATATCTAGCTGTTCTGAGTCAGTTACCCATCTACAACTGTCAGAGCAGGGTGTGGGCTATGGCAGACTGTGCAACAGCACCTACCAGAATACAAGAGAACTGGATATGGGGGTATATTCTGTAAGGAACTTGGGGGTGACCTCTGTGGGGCTGCAGCATCTGCTGGAGTTTGCACAGAGAGCTGGTGATGGTGATTGTGACTGACCAAGCCAGTCTGGAATACAGAACTCACCTGGCATGAACCCACCTGACACTTGTGGGAGCTGAGAGAAGTCTGGAAGGAGCCAGACCGCTGCACCTGCCTGCACATGCAAAAGCCAGGATTGAGGGCAGACCATGCTAAATAGGACTGTTAAAACCCACATGTGTAAGATCCCGGGCTGGAAGCAGACCTGGTAGGGGATCTTGGAGAACTCCCTTACCAGGTTTCAACTTCCACTAGAGAGCACGGGAACCAGGGCTGAGGGTGAGTTAGGTTGGGCAAAATCAGAGTTCGTATGGGTCAGATCAGGGGATGGCAGCCCCTATTGGGACACACAAGAGTCAGGACATGCTGTGTATCATACCCAGTTGGGCTAGGCTGCTACATCCACCACTGTGAGCCGGGACTGCAAGTGGGCCATGCCAGGCTGAGTTGAAGAACCTGCCAGCATGCAGAAAACCCAGGGCTGAGAATAGGCCTGGTAGGGTAACTCTGGGGACTTCCCTGATTGGATGCAGCTCTAGCTGATGAGTATGAGAGCTGGGGTTGTGGGAGGACCAAGATGGGGAAGACTATGGCACCTATTGGCATGCATGTGGGCCGGGTCTGAAAACAGGACAGGCTGGACTAGGCTCCAGTGTCCGCTGGTTCTTGCAAGAGCCAGAATGGGTGTGAGGAATCAGTCAATCTAGGCCGCAGCACCCTCAGGGTCACATGAGAGCCAGGTTTCGGGGTATGCCAAGCTGGGCTAAGCTGTAGCACCCATTGGTGAGAGCGGGAATGGATGCAGACAATTTCGACTTGGCAGCAGAATATGATGGCATGCACAAGACCCGTGAGAGTAGGATTGGTAGGGGAACTTCAGGGACTCTGTTACTGGATTGATTGCTAATTCCACTTGAAAGCATAGCGCTGAGACTGGGAATGTGCCAGTCTGTGGACAGGCCAGGATGGTCTCGGCTGCCACAACCACTGGCACATGTAAGAGCCCAAATGGGTGCAGACCAGCCAGATTGACCAAAATATTAGTTGGCAAGTGCCAAGACTGGGTGTGAGTCATCTCAGGCATAATCACAGTGCCCCTGGAAGGTGCAGGATCCAGGACTGGGAGCATACCTGGCATGGGAACTATGGGCATTTCCCTGCTAGGCTGTCTTACCACTGGTGAGCACGAGAATGAGAGTTGAAAATGGGTCAAACTGGACAAGGAAGTGACAGCTGACAGCATTTATGATGGCCAGGTCTGGTGGCCTAGTACAGCTAAGCTAAGCTGCAGCACCCATGGGTGTGAACAAGAGCCAGACTGAATTTGGTCTAGGCCAGACTAAGCCACAACAGAGGCTATCATGTACAAAAACAGGGCTGGGGGCAGGCCTGGTGGTGGTTATTGGAGGCTGGCCCAACCAGGCCATTGCATCACTGGTGTACTACAGGACCAGGTTTGGGATGGGCTGAAGCATCCATCCATTCATGAGAGATATCAGGCTGGGGTGGAACTGACCAAACCGTATCCAATGGTATGTGCATTGGCTGGTGCAGGTGACAGACAAAACCTGACCCTTCCCTGGCTGGAACACATCAAATCTAAAGCCACCCGAGGTGAGGTTTCTTGGAGGACTGCCCAAACAAGACTACTGGACTCAAACTCCAGACTAAAGGAAAATCACAGGATATGTAGTCTGACCTTGTAGTACATGTGTCAGGACTGGGCCTCCTCAGTTGCTGATGCCTGTGCAGTGGACAGTATGCCCAGATGCACACAGGGAACATGACAGCCAGTTCACCTAGGCCAGCAGAGAGACATCAAGTACCTTATCGGAGGACAGAAAGCAGAGCAGGTTGAAACATTCTCCTGGCCAAACTTTGCAGTATGTCCCTGGATCTATGGATGCACTAAGATGGACTTTGTCAACTAATAGACCTTGGAAAGATTTTCTCAACCCTGGAGTAATGAAACCAACAACTTCTCAGATCTATCAAAACCACACAAATTACATCTTCAGAATATGCTTTCCTGCATCAGATTCTCTCATCAATTACTATCCCCTATCCCTTGATGCTGATGTAGTTTTTTTTTAAAGATTTATTTTTTATTATTTTTTCATTGAAAGGCGGATATACAGAGAGGAG